AGGACTGGCAGAAGCATAGGACATGGAATCTTGCTAATTTTCCTTCCTGGTCTGCCAGCCAGGTATGTTGGTGGTGGATGACAAGCTCAGGGATCCAACATGGTGTACACTACTAACATGAGTAACTTTCCCTGCGACGTGGATATGGCAAGCTCACAGCCAGAAATGCTGCCCTGATCTTGGTGCCATATCCACCCAGACCCCTTAAAGGGAATCTCATACAGGGAAACAGGCGCCCCACCCCTTTCCTTCCAAATTGTTCCAGTCCAATATCTACCACACTCTCCATAGTGGGGACTTAAAATACAGAATGGTCCCTCATACATGTTGTGTGAGGTCTATAAAAGCAAATACTACTACTACTACATCACTCAGCTCATATACATGGACTAATCCTGCAATGAAGAGAGCAAAAACCCTGCCCATCCCTTTCTTACCTCATGGAATGTAAGTAAAAATTCCTTCCCAAATGTAATAACAAGTGACTAAATTCTGTCCACTGCAAGACCTACTAATGACAAGGTAGGTGAGTGGAAAATTGGTGACACCATATCATCCTGTGAAGCTTTGTTTTATGGACCTCAGGTGCACCAGAGTGGACACAGCTCCTTCTCAGAGCCAGTCCCAGTGAGCTGACTGGTTCAGTGGCTGAGTGGTGTTGGGCCACAGAGAGGAACTGCTGCGCAGGCTTTGCCACTGCCTTCCTTTCCCACCACCAGGGCCCACATGTGCTCCCAAATGCTGGTTCCTCATTAAACAGGGATTTCAACTGGCTGTCCCATTAATCAACAACCACATTCTAATCTTTGAAACCGAAATGTGCCAATAATACCTACATTATTTCCTGACAAATAAAACATGGCTTGAAAAAAAATTACACCCATTATCTGTGTGATCGTATCTAAAAATTCTACTGAAAAACTTTCCAACTATAAAAAAGTGGAACTTGCAGTATAATGTTGCAAAATATGCTCACTTCCTGGTAGAAGTGCCCCTCCCCTAAGGTTTCATCCAGGAAGCCACGCATTTCTCCAACCCTCAGCTTCACCACACTCCATTTTTCCTTTTGAAGAGACAGCCAGCATTCTGCAGCTACAGTTGAGGCCCAGTCCTCACTGAAATGCTTTGGGGTAGGTTTTTAAAACTGAACTTCTGCAAACTTAGTAGTTCTCCTCAGCATGGCAGTACCACCCACTTGTTTCTCTTGTTTGGCTCAGTTTTTGTCAGCATTCACCACTTAACTTGGGTATTAGAGATGCATCTGGTGAAGTGGACAGTGTCCACAACAGGTTATGCCAGAATAAACAAACTGGTTAGTCTTCAAGATTCCACAAGACAATTGTTTTCACTGCTACAGACTAAGACAATACCTGCTGGGAATAATTAGAGGCAGTGGTATCAATCCATGCATGGAATATACATCATGCTTTTCTGTTTGAAGCAGCATTCCTAAAGCATACTCAGTCCATTAACAGTCACCCTGTCTGCAGTCCACAGTGAGCAAGTACCAGAGCCTTACTATCAGAACCACAGCGGCATTAAACTTTTATGCAATTCAATGCTAGGTTGGTTTGGTGGGCTAGCAGGAACAGGGCCAAGCAAGGTAAAGGGAAGAAACAATCATAACTATATCCATATACCCACTTAAAGAAATTTTGGACAAAAAACAATTGAACGAAGTATTAAACAAAAGTCATTTTTCCAGTTGTTCAAGTCAACCCTTCTCTAATACAATCTTCTACTTTACTTATAGTTCATAAACTAATTATCAGTGCATATCTATTACTCCAGGACAGCATTAAAAATCAAACAGAGATAAAAAATAACAATCCAGTTAAAACTATAATACACAAATGGAGGGGAAGCAATTAAAAAATTCACAAAAAGTAGACTGAAATAAAAATGTTTTGTTTATTCATTTTTTTCCAACAATGTGCTGAACTCATTTCTTGAGGGAGAGTCCTACAGGTATGAGGCCACCACCAAACTAACCCTGTCACTGGAATCCATCAAGCAAACAATCTCTTATCATTAGTCCAGCAAGCAGGGGCTTAGCTGCTGATCATAAATCCTTGGACTTGTAGATGATCTTTCATATCAAAGAAAGGTATCATGCATTCCAAGCACATGAACAATCTAAAAAACCAAAAGTAGTACTGCAAATTAGCCCAGAAACAAATAGCCAGTATAACTGATCCAGAATTGGTGTAATAAGGAGCACATTATCAAAATCCAACCCAACTATAGCCAGAGCATGTATAATTGTGGCAAGGACTACTTTTTGGAGCTAGGGCAGTGGAATCTGAAGATGGCGAAACACACTTCCGGCAGCTTTGATCACCATCAGGGACAGTGCAACCTTGCCCAGGCCATACCGCATGTATACCTTTATCCAGAAAAGAGAAAATAAAAAGGACTCTGCCCTGCCTGGATTAAGTTTTAGCTGGTTTTCTCTCATTTGCCCCAAGCCAGACTCCAGGCATCTGTTTGGAATGAGACCGCCTCCTTACGATTAGATGGTAGAAATACAACATAGAGCTCTGGGTCAGCAGTATAGTGGTGACACTGCAGCCCAAACATTCAGATGACTCCTACATTTTCATGTCCGTATTTAAATCATCAACTAGATAAAACCTTGGGCATCTCAAAGGCCAATGGCGAAGAGGTTCGTTTTTTATCCCTCCAGCTCTATGTATGATCAGTAGCCCAAAACCATTCTATATGGCAATTACTAACTGTTGGCGTTTACCATGGAAGCTTCTTGTATCAGGCTAAATGAGTACATACAGAACTCCACATCTAAAACTGTGTTCTGAAAATGCTAAACAAAAAGTAGGTCTAGAATTAAACTGCTAAAAAACATAAGTCTTAGGGTTTTATTGTGATGTAAATTAAACATGCCGAAAGGCCCCTTCTGACTCACTCTGTTTCTATGTTTCTATGTGATGGCTCAACCACAACTTCCTTTAGTTTCAGGTGTTTTTGTGCTTGACATGAAACAGAGAGGGTTTTTTTCTTTATACCATGCACCTCTCAAAGAAACATACATTTACCTGAAATACAAAACAAGCTCTTAAATTCTAATTCTGGGGCCTCCAAGATGGTGCCCACAGATGCCTCTCTTACCACCTGCTAGTGTCCCTGCTCCTGATATTTATCCTAAAATTTTTAATACTTTTTAAACTAAAAGGCTACCTTGATGATGTAAAGCAAAGGATTGCCTCCCAATAGCATCTTTATTTTGTTTCAAAAGAGTGATTTTGTGTTTTAGTACTCAAGACCACATCACTGTTTCGTACTAAGGTTTTTGGGCAAGCTACTTTTCCTTTAGTCTCTCTAGTTTGCCCTCTGGGAAATAAGTACTTTGTGACTAGTGATGGCAAACATTTCATAAATGGGCAAACCTTACTAATAGCAGCAATTTTATGAGTGCCCACAACACATGCAAAATTCCATATATGCCACTGACCCCAAAAGAATGGGAACCCATGTTATCCAGTTGTATTTCAAACTAGGAGCTGGAGTGCTTAAACACAAAGAAACATGCTGTGCTAATACTACCTAGCCTACTGTGCATTTGAATTGAATGTTCAAGTCTGGTTCAAATTTTAAAAGCAATTAGCTAATTGGAAAATATTGGCTTGATTTTTCTTAAGATTAAAATATCAGCAAACCAGTAAAAGCTCATCTCATCTGTCTCACAGCAGCTTCTAGAATGCCTGAAAGATATCCATAGGTCTCTACAAACATGGGTTGATTGACAGGTCCAGTTCTGGACCCAAAAAGTTCCAATTCCTTTTCTCTCATTGAAAAAGCATATGATTTATGATCATGACATTTTCAGCCCACCACCACCTCGTAAGTTCAGCATACATTGGGTCAATCTTCTGTGGAAAAAACATCAAAACAGAACATGGATTTTACTGTCTCATTCTGATTCATAAAAATCTTTCACAGGGATTACACAAAGTAATAGCGAAAGCCACATTTCCTCCCTGTATTTCTGCCTGCTTTCAGCTACACCTCCCACTGGGAAAGTATAACATCTTTACAGCAAGTTACTGCCACTGGCAATAGATTAAGGTCAGTGGGAGGAAAAAAATTAAGCACACAGTTGCAGTCCTGATGTACATGCACACATTTATACGTACTAATGGCATTTCTCCCTCCCCAACTGTTAAGCACAGGCTTTCTTCAACCGAGTATGGGAAGTGGACAGCATCCAGTAGCTTACAAAGCAGGTATAAAAGCCCTTGTTTTCTTTCCTGTTATTCTCTTGCTGAGTGCTATAGTCAAGTTTACATTGACAAGAGTAGGTTCAGAAACGATCCTTCTCAAAACTTCCAACAGAAATGCAAGAATATAGACAAAACACAAGCTCTATTCCCCAACCCTCTCTCTTTCTCCCTCCCTTCGTCTTTTAACCTACTCCAAATTCTTCGACAGAAAAACGTCAGTGGCTTCTATCAGTCCTAAGCAACGGAAGCCCCTTCTTGCCTGAACACGGGGTTCCGCAAAGACGGCCGACACACGCATGCATGCAGCCGCCAGACGACTGAGCACCTCTCGTCCTTTCCATCTCCACTCACTCAGGCTCACACATATGGTTCGACTTCGGATTCCAAAACCGAGGGGCGGAATCCTTGGCTGCACTGAAACTCGCGGCAACGTTGCCAAGCCAGCTTCAGTACAAGCCAGCGTTTCAGCCAGTTGTGTTGTTGCTTCTCCCCAACAGGTCGCCCACCGTGCTGGCAAGAGGGGGGAAAAGCAGCCTTCACACCTGTAAACCGTTCACGGGAACCTGTCTAGAAAAAAGAGACCGCATTCATACGTTCACGCGTGGTACTCCTGCCTCTCACCGCCTAACGGTAAAGTTTGATGAAGCGCTAATCGCCAGCTAAGGAATTGCGAGTGCGGAAAGCCAGCCGCTTCGTCCGAGAAACGCCGCGCCTGCTTTTTCACCCCCTCCCAAACGCGCCTCATGGGCCTCGCTTCCCTACCTGAGGAGTTGTCTTGGCGTTTATTTTTTTCCCTTCGCCCCTCCTGCTCCTCCTCACAGCCGGAACAGCGACCCCGCCGAGCAGCCGCTCGCCGCGCGATTCATTGCAAAGCAAAGTTTCTCCTTCGCCGCCCCCTCGGGGAAATGCGCGGCGGACTTGGCGGTGCTTCAGCAGAGGCTGGAGAAGAGCGGGCTTAATAAGCGGGACTGGGAGGCGCCTCGTCTCAAGGGGGAGCGGCGGGCGCTATTTCTCGCCCAGCTCGAGAGAAGGGCGGGCGGCACTTCTTCCTCCTTCCCACCACACGACAACGCTGCTGTGGGGGTGGGTGGCGGGGAACAATCGACGGGGCTTGCTTTTCTGCTGAAGAACGACGCCCTCGACCCCCCCTCCCCAAAGAGTTGCTTTCCCGAGGCCAGGACGCTCCCTCAGAGCACGCCTGCCTAGCAGTGTCCCCGCCCAGAATCTGGGACTTCATCCAGAGTGACTATTGAGTGTTACAGCCTAATCCGACCAATCCTGTCGGTATGTTTCCCTAGTCCAGTGGATGAGTCCCGGGAGGCTCGGACTTGCGCTAAGCAAACGCGCGGGTAGGTACGTGACGCCCTGGCGCTACACGTCGCGCCGCACGGCCCGACCCACCTCCTCTGCTAGCCCGTCTCTTTCCTCACAGCACCTCACCCGTCGAGCGTAAAATAATAGCGGGTAACCTGGTTAAGATTGTATATTTTGAAGGACACCTTTCTGGACAGAAGGGTGCATCGTTCCCGAATCTGGTAGCTTCCAGATGAGGTACGCTGTAACTCCCAGTACCCCTCGGCGAGCGATGCTAGGAATTGTAGTGCAACACGTAGTTGTAATGCATGTACAAGTACAAGAAGGAAAAGAATGCAAGGAAGAGAGGGCTCTCTAGCTGTTGGCTTGAAGACAGCTTTTTTTTTTTTAAACATACAAGGAGGCGCCTGCTTTCGGTTTCATACAAAACTGAGATCAGCGCGCTACACTAAACGGTTTCTTTTCTGCTAAAGAACCTCTAGGTGGCAGTGTAATTCAGTGGCATAGCACAAGTACATAAGTCAAGAAAGGACTCGGAGGATGAATTTTCCAAACACAATTGTGCTCATTAGACACAGCAGCAAAAGTGGAGAGCCACAGCATAATTTAAAGAACTCAGACAGCTGTGCATGCATAATAGATGGCTTATTTAGAAAAACCTTTGTCATTGGTGACCCTTATGTACATTTACAAATACACAGCACACTTTTACACATTTATTCAGAATTAAGTCCCAGGTGGTTGCAGTTCAAGTATCTAAGACTGCAGGTATAAAGATACTGTACAGCAGCAGAAATCATAAGCTCCGTAATGCATCTAGCAGCAGCAGGCAATTTCTGTCTACCAATGCCAATCTTTTGCTTCTAGTATAGATAGGTGCAATATTTCCAGGGGTGGAATTGTAACTCAAGAAGATAGCCCGCTCACTTCCCACAGCTAATGAGGCACCTGCTTGTCAGTCTGCCACCATCCGGTTTAGAAATATGCACAGACAAAGTAACTCAAGAACCTGACCTCATCCAGACTACACATCAACTTGCAACATGCAAATATGTATAAAGCACAACCTGCATATATAAATAATCAAGAAATTAAAGAGTTTGTAAAATGGGTAGAAGTTACGCATTTTACAGTTAAAGTACAGGAGTAACATGTAATTTGTGAAATATTACTGTTATTTTTCTGTCAATTGAACACAACTTCTCCTAACCTGATGCCTACAGATGTTTTGAACTACAGGTCAGGGTGACCAGACTGAGGCTCAGAAGCAGCATGCAGCTCTTTGAGTTTATTTTGCAGCTTGCCACCTGGAGCAGCCACTTACCACTCACCCATCCAAATTCCACCCATTCTAGGGAGAAAGAGTCAGCAGTAGTACACAAAATTCTATAGCCAAACCACCAACCTAAATTTAAATCATCTCTATCCCATTGCCCCAATGAACTCTTTGAATATTAAAACTCATGTCTCCAACATAGTGCGCAGTAATACCTGCGGACACCTTTCTTGGTACCCTCCAGGGGCTCTGTTCCTCTTGATTACTATGTCTTTAAACATTTCTGGGGGAAAAAACCCCCAAAATTGAAGGTGGCATGCTGCCAAATGGAACGCTTCTCTGCTGCCATCTTTATTTTGGTTCGGAAAGTAGTTTTGTGTGGGGCGAGCAAGTCAGATCTCACCTTTGCCTTGTACTTAGGTTCTTAGGAAAATTGCTGCTTTTATAGTTCCATCAGTTTGTCTTCTGAGAAATGAGTGTTGTGCTCTCCAAGTCCACTATGATAGTCATTTTGCAACAGGTAAGCCCCTCCATGGCAGTCATGTGGCAGGAGCATTCATGAGACTCCAAACAGACCTCCAACCTTTCTGGGTCAGTGGGTACTAATGCATAGCAAATAGATTCTGTATAGAGTACTTAAGTCCATTATCCAAGGGTAAAGGGGGGCTCTGTCAAATGGCAAATTTGGGGTAACAAATTATCACCGTACTTTATTTTCTACTGCTAAGGGCACTATTTGCATTGTCTGCATTGGGGACCAAAACATCCTATATTATTACTGTTACAAAAAGGCCATGTCGAAGATTATAGAAGGTTGTGATTCAAAATTGCATGTTTACTTGGAAACAAGCTCTGCTTTTATGTATTTAGAGAGTGCAAATACAATGCTATGATAACTGGAATGGATTTCACAATACTCTGTTTACATAATAATTCCGTCAGATTACCCTTTCTAACCTACTTGTCATGTGCTATAAAAGACACACACATGTGTATATATAAGGCCCAGGCTCTTCTCAAGGTCTTGCTTGGTGCTACCACATGAATAGAAAATAAGCCCCATTGACAGCTTATTGAGAATAGATCTCATTTACAAATAATGGATAATTTAAATTATGCCATGTAGCACAAGATAGACCGGGGGCGGGGGACCTGCCTAAAGCTAAAGACATGAAACAGGCTTCTTTCTTTAGTTATAAAAACACTGCCATTGCACATACATTTTCCAGTCATTTTCCTTCTGATTTTTTTATTCTTTTTATCTCATTTTTTCTCCTCTTAAATTTTCCTTTTTGCATTTGCACTGTTTTCTTCTCTCACCCTATTCCTTTGCCTCATCATTTTTTGCCACTCATTGACTTGTCTAGCTTTCTAACTATGCGAGAAAGCAGCGTGCACTCACAACAGGGGGGCCATATAATTGCACAGGTTCTTGATAGTGGTGTTAAAGCACACGGGGAAGAGCAAAAGTGCAGTCTTTCCAGCATATTATTACAAGGCGTCAGGTCAGCAGCAGTTCCAGATCCAATCTCAGGAGCACTAACAGCAATGGCTTCTAATATCACAGCATCAGTGAATTTGAACATCAAAGCTGTAACTTGAGGAATATCTGGTGTCAAAGTGAGTTAAAGTTAAGTTAGAACTTAGAGGATGTGTGTGTTTTCTAAAAATGATGGCAGCTTATAGCATTTCACCAAAATTAAGCTTTTTACAGTGCATTTTATTTTGTTCCTGTCGTGAAGCATACTTTAGAGATTTTTTTTATATATCTCAAAATACAACTTACAGAAGCCAATGGGCTTACAGAGGAAATTGAGGCTGAAATCTGCAGCACAACTCCAAACTTCTTTTGTCTGGCCCTGATACACTTCATCTTCCTAAATAAGAAAATGTCAGTAGAGACACATAAACTGCCAAATGTTAATTACATAATCTGTTGAATGCAAAAAATGTGATGGCATAAAGTATCAAAATCCAGAATTCCACCTGCATTAGTTGCTGGTAGTTTACATGCACCCATAATTGCTGTAGCTTTCTACTGTAAGATAAAAATTCAGCAATCAGGTGTGATAAATGTATGCTGCTGTGCCTTTCATAATTTTATCTGTTTGGATGGTAATAGTTTCCATTTGGGTTATTGGTCTCTGATTATTTGAACAACAAGGGGATTTGATATTATTCAGTTTCATGTATCTGTATCCATACCTGTCAGAGGAACTGTACCATTCTACATTCTTTTAAACTAAAGAGGCCTTTAGGATTACCATGTCTTATATTAGCAACATTTATCTTCATTGTAAAACAGTAGGTGATTTAGAAATGCTTGGTGATAGGGTAGTCATTAAAATGGTAACTGAAATAGATAATCCATTCCTTCTTTAGCAATAACAATTTGGAAAATACAGTTGAAACAGCCACCTAATTCACATGTAATGACAAACCATTGATTTAAAATCTAATGGGTTGTTGAGGATGTGTGGTTATACTATCTGCAAGACACCCACCTCTTCTGCTTTACAGCACAACCTACAGTCTGCCTCTTCATAACATTAGGCAGTGTGATGACTGCTGGGTTGTTAAGGGGACAAACAGTGGTTGGTTTTGGGGTGGACTGCTGGGTCAGCCCTTAACCCAGTGATCCACGTTTGCACATCATGCTGCACAATGGAGCCAATGCTGGGTTATGTCAAAGGAAAAGCCAAGTACACCACAGACAACATGCCTCAGTATGTGTGAATAGTCCCAAAGTCCTCCCAGATTTTGAGAGATTTGAAGGAAAAAGAACCAGTGCAGTGATTATCTTTTCTTCTTGCAGCCTTAGGCTACAATGATAATCTGGAAGAACATGTCCCATTCTGTATTTAAAATCAAGTATAATAAAATGTATGCATCCTATAGAATACACTTAGATTTTTAAAATTTATCCTTTTGTACAAGTACTATAGTGTGGTTTAAGCTGCCTAAAGGATAACTAATCTGCATTCTTCTTTTCCATTGAGAGTACAGGAAGGCACTATTTATAGTACAGAATAGCACTTGGACAAGAAAACAAGCTATCTACTTTTCATAAAACATTTATGTTTGCAAAGTGTTCCTTTCAAAAGGGGTCACGGTTTACACCTCTAATTTTTCTGTTACATGGTTCCAGATATTTTGCATCCTTCAATAATTTATATCTAAGCCATATAAATACTCACTTGCCTAGTAGCATATGGTGAGTCAGAAAATATTCACAGTATCTTTGTGTAAGATTACATCTCTCCACTTCTGGCAAAACACACATTCAATATTTCCTGTAAGATAGCTTAGTTTTTCTGACTACTCCCAGAAACTTTCTCCACTAGCCAAATCGGGTTCAACTATATGATGAAGCAAACAGGTCTCCTACAGACCCGCATTGCATCCCATGCACTGCTGGGTTTCCTCAGTGCTGCT